CGCAAGCTGAGCATCGGATTTGAACGAACGTGAAGCTTGGATTTGAAAAATTCAAAGAGAGGTCGAGAAATACTCTTTGTGAAGATGTCAGCAACTTGGAGATGAGAGGGTACATATTGTGTGCGAAGTTTGCCAGCGATATCAAGTTCTCGAAGGAAATGATAATCTAGTTCAACATGTTTGGCCCGCTTGTGAGAAACGGGATTAGAGCAAAAAAAAAAAATAGCACTTTTGTTGCCACATAAGAGTAAGGGCTGCTGTGAAATAGAGACCTTGAGGTCATGCAAAAGATGCGAACCCAAAGAAGTTCAGCAGCAGTTGTGGCAAGAGCACTATACTCAGATTCACAGCTGGAGCGTGAGACAATAGGTTGCTTTTTGGCACTCCAAGAAACGAGATTGTTACCAAGATAAATAGAATAGCTGGATGTAGAACGACGAGTATCGAGACAACCAGCCCAGTCAGCATCCGAATAAGCGACTAGCGTACTAGGAACAGTGGATGGACGAAAGGTAAGACCAAAGTGGAGTGTTCTTTTGACATAGCGAAGAATACGTTTGACAGCAAGAAAGTGATCTCCAGTAGGGGCATGCAAGAATTGACAGCATAGGCAATATCTGGACGCGTAATAGTCAAGTACTGAAGGGCGCCAACAAGAGATCTATAGAGAGTAGGATCAGAGAAAGGAGAACCATCAGCAGTCAGGTGTTGAGAAACAACCATGGGAGTGTGGACTAGTTTGCTATCGAGCAATTGAGCACGAGTAATAACATCTCGAGCATTCTTAACTGACTAATAAAGAGACCATCAGGAGTGAGTGAAGCTTCAAGACCAAGAAAGTAACTAAGAGAACCCAAATCTTTGGTAGCAAACTCAGAATGAAGCTTGCGAGTAAAGCTGTCAATAAGAGATGAGTTGTTGCCAGTAACAATAATGTCATCAACATAAAGAAGCAAATAGATAAGGTTAGATTGCTGATGAAAGACAAAAAGGGACGTGTCAGCGCAACTGCAAGAAAACCCAAGTGTGAGAAGAAATGAGCTAAAACGCTGAAACCAGGCACGAGGAGATTGCTTTAGTGCATAGAGGGCTTTCTTTAATAGACAAACATGAGTAGGAAATCGAGGATCAATATACCCAGGAGGTTGTTCCATATGAACACGTTCAATAAGAGTTCCATTGAGAAAAGCATTCTTGACATCAAGTTGTCGAAGAGGTCATTTATTTGTGACTTTTCCAAAAAAGATAATTGACATCAAGTTGTCGAGAGGGAGAAGTTGACTTTTCCAAAGAAGATAATTGGAGGAAGAAAGTTTGATGGTGATCCTATAGATTAGAGTATTGAAAGGAAGAAGATGATAAGAAGATTCGGAAGCCATAGAGAAGAAAGGATCAGGGTTGTTAAATCGAAAGGGCTCTGATACCATGTAAATGTTTGCTCAATCCACCACACCTAAATGATTGTGAGAGTTCTCTTATTTATATTCATTTACAGAATACAAAATTATGATAAATTACAAATAATATGGAAATAACAATAAAAGGAAAAAATGATAAATGAATACAATATATTTGCCTTTAATAAAAAGGCAAATATGGTAAGCCGTAATTGAAGGCAAATATCTAGATATTTGTCTTATAATGAACGGTCAACTATCTTTAACACTACGGACCATGACTTACGAAAACATACGAATGCACAAAGTGGTTTAAATATAAAATAAAGAAAATCCTTAAATTCTAATAAAGATTTTGAACGACAAACAACAGAACACATGACAGTTTGGAAATAAATTTCGAAAGAATGCAAATACAAAATAAAGACTGAACTGACGCCCCGGGACAACCCGTTCCTCTGTGACAATCCCCGTCCCCATCACGCCCGCCCTTGACCAACGCCTCACACTCCTGAAAAAAGGAAAACATAGCAAGGATGAGTATAAAAATTATACTCAGTAAGCCACCTACTTGTAGGCTCTCTTCGCATCTTAATTTAATAGATTCCCATGGTTTCCTAATTCGGTTCTAGGACATCTGGTTCTAATCTTAGTCCCTTGGAGCTTGCCCCTTGGGTTTCACCAGTTCATCGTCCTTTCATTAAACGCCTAGAGGTTCCTTATGCCAAGCTAATATGGTCGGTATTGTTAGGTTATGGAGCCTACTGCTTATTTATAGCTTGGTCAACGATTATATCCGGTAAAGCTATATCCGGTAAAGCTATATGCGGTAAATAGCTATATATAGTATATGGTTAAATCGGGTAAAGCTATATATAGTAAATAACTATATATATATAGTAGATGGTTAAATCTGGTAAAGCTATATATAGTAAACTGAACTATATATATATCCCGTCCGGTAGAGCTTTGAAAATGTACTTTCTATTCTCTGTATTCTCTCGTACTGTACATACGTGAAGTCATCAATAAAAATTCTTTTAGCCAGAGTTCTCTTTGCAATTTTCTCTATCCTGTTCTTCGTGTTCATCTAGATCGAACGTGTGCGTTGTTG